TTTAAAAACCCAAACCCCCCCACCAACCCCCCCCCCCCCCCCCCCCCCCCCCCCCCCCCCGCCTGTGCAGCTGTCGGAGGAGTGGGACGCCACGCCCGGCCTGCCCGAGGCCTTCTATGCGCACGAGTACCTGGCTGAGTTTGGCAGCCGCAGCCTGGAGTACTTGAACAACATAGTCAACTTCCTGGGTGACGACGACAGCGAGGTGGGTGGGGTGGGGTGGGGTGGGGTGGGGGGAGGTTGTGTGGCGCAGTGTTGGCGCGCCCCCTCGGCGTGCCCCTCCCCCTCTTTGCCGCCGCGGCCCCTGCTTGTGTGTGCACTCCCCATCTGCATGTGTGGTGACGGGCAGTAGCGACTTGGCCTGCCTGCTCCGCCGGTGTGTGCGTGTGTGCAGGAGGACGATGTACAAGCTTCCGCTGAGGATGAGGACGAGGAGGAGGAGAGCGAGGAGGAGGAGGAGGAAGAGGACGAGTAGCACCAGCCAGGCAGATTTGACAGCCGGCAGCGGCAGCAGCGGCACGCAGGTTAGGCAGCGCACGCCGGCAGACGACCAAGGCAGCCAGCAAGCACCCGGTAGTCAGAACCCAGATTGCACATGTGTTGCATTGCATTTCGACGCTGCAGTTGCCTTCATGCAAGCTCGACATGACAGTGGCAAACACACGATGTTTACGGCAAGCAGGGGACGGTGATGAAGCAATCGCTTGCTGCTGTGCTGCCCAGCATGCGGCTGCCCTCCTCGCCAGCGCCAGCGTGGCACGGCGCTCAGAAGTCGGAGCAGCGCCCCTTGATCTCCCAGTCTTTGTACCGCGTCGGCTCGGGGCCTGCATACCCGCCATACTCGGGGGGAAGCCCGCCGGCAGGCTGGGGCGGTGCCTGCGCAGGCAGGGAGGCCGGCGCGCGGGAGCACGCAGGCAGGGGTGAGAACAGCATGGTCATCATGCTGCCTGAGGCGAGACAGATGCTTCACAAGCAGCAGGAAATACACGGTTACACCGCACGCACGGCCACGTTGAAGCTTCTTCAGCGAAGCTCACCTCGCCGCCTGCCTGCTTGTCGCCTGCTGCGGCTGCTACCGGCGTTGCTCCCTGTCCTGGTTTGGCAATCAGCTGCTGCAGCTCCTCCTCCGCCTTGTGCTGTAGCGACGCGGTGAAGACATCAGGCTCGGCGCCGCCGCTGCCAGCGTTGCCGCCACCGCCGTCGCCACCGCTGCTAGTGCCGCCAGCAATGGGGCTCGCCGCGCTGCCCCTCGCAACCGCGCTGCCAGACACCCCCCTCAGCTGCCTCAGCGCCCCGAGCAGGCCACGGGTTCCCACCGTGAGTGTCGCGGGCAGAACCATTGAGCCAGTCTGACGCTGCACCGATGAATTGAATGTCACGGCGTCGCCAACCGCAGTGGTTCGCCCTGTGCCGCAAAGTATGCTGAGCCTGCCCAGTGCGCCGCGCCCGCTGGCGGCGCCGTGTACAGGTCAGCCCCAACCTGGTGCAGCCTGGCATCCTGCATCTGGCCTGACCAATTGAACACCTGGTAGGTCTTAGCCACTGGAACCCTGAGAAGACCCACCAATTCCAGGCAGCAAAATGAGGCCAGCTGCTTTCCCTGCTGCAACAATGGTTGGCAGCGCTGCACGCAACGCCCCACCTCCGCCAAGCTTGCACCTGTGATCCATTGCATTAGAAACCGGATTGACTGGTAGTAGCAAGATGCTGCGGGCACCCTGGCCTACCCCTGTGCAGCTGCCGCCGGCTGCCCGGGCGGCACCATTCCCGCCCCTGGTCGCCGCTGCTCTTGCCTCAGGTGCCTGCCCGCCCGCCGCTGGCAGCCCACCTCGGGCATCTAGCATCAGCCAATTGGGTGCCGCGGGCTGCAGAGTCCAGAAGGACTCGCTTCGCTTGCGCCTCCGCCTTCGGCTGAGCTGGCTCGCCTTGTCCTTCGTGAAGCGTCTCTCTCGGGCTCGCTGCTCCTTGCTCTCGTTCCCCACCATCCGTTGCCGCCTTACAGCGCCCCTCCCGCTGCGTTGCCCTTCTGAGGAAGGCACATCCCCTGCGGCATCGGGTCCCAGCGTCCCGCACCCCCGCCTGCCTGCACCCCCGTTCCAGGAATCACTAGAGCAGCAGCATGGCGGCGCCTGCTGCTGCCGCGGCGCAGCCGCAAGCAGACAACTTCACCCCCGGCAGCACCAAGAAGTCCAGCAGCAAGACGGTGACTGACACGGTGATAGGTGAGATCCCCGGGTGCCCTTGTGGGCGGGGCTGGGGCGTCGCGGGGCCCGGCAATCACGGCTGACTGAGCGCCGATAAAAAAACCTGGCCCTTTTCCGCCGCCTGCAGGCGAGCACGAGCACACCATCGTGGGATATAGCCTGGTGAAGGGCATCGGGGATGGGGAGCCGATCGCCAGGCGAGTGCTGGGGCCGCCGCCGCTCTGCATCTCCATCTCCATCTGGGCGGCGGCGGGACTCGGCGCCCGCCGCCGTACCGGCGCCTCTGCGCAGCAGACCGCTGCCCTGGCCGCTGGCCGTGCTGCCCTGGGTCGCCCTGCCAATGGGGCCTACAGCCCACGCGCCTGCCCGCCGCACCTGCCGCCGCCGCTCACCCCCCACGCCTTGCGCCTCCCCCGTACTGCCCCATGCAGCGAGCGGTTTGTGGTGGGAGGCCACGAGTGGGTGCTGCTCTTCTACCCCGACGGCAAGCGCAGTTCTTCAGAGATGCACAACATCCAGCCGCAGCAGGTGCCGCCCCACAACGCGCACCTGCAGCAGCAGCACGGCGGCGGCGGCGGCGGCGGCGGCGGCCAGCAGGGGCCCCACGCCATGCCCGGCGCCGCGGGCGGCCAGCCGATGGGCATGGGAGCGGCGGCGCTGCCGCCGCGCGCCCCGGGCGGCCCGCCCGGCGGCGGCGGCAACGGCGGCGGCGGCGGCGGCGGCGGCCAGCTGCAGCTGCAGCAGCGCGGCCACCCCGGAGGCGGCGGCGGCGGCGGCGGCCAGGGCAACGGCGGCGGCGGCGGCCAGGGCCCGCCACCTCCCCCTCCCCAGCAGCAGCAGCTCATGGTCAACCCGGCGCAGCAGGCGGCGGCGCAGCAGCAGCAGCAGCTGGCGCTGCCGGGGGCGGCCGCGGCGGCGGCGGCGGCCGGCGGCAACAACGATTACTGCGCCCTCTTTGTGGCTCTCATCGGAGAGACGGAGAGCCCCCAGGGGGTGGTCAACACGAGCGAGGGGCGCGTCGTGCGCGCCTTCCACCGTTTCACGCTGGTGGACCAGTCGGGTGGGTGGCGGGGGCTGGGCTGTTTGTGTGTGCTGCTGAGTGCTGGGCTGGTGCTGGGTGCTGGGCTGGGGCTGGGGCCGCGCCTACGGTGCGTGCTGCCGGGCGCCTGCATGGCCCCGGCTGGCGCACCGCCCGCGGCCTGCCCACCCTCCACCCCACCCTCCCCGGCCCCTCGCCCTGCCCTGGATCCCCCTCCCTCCCACCCACCCCCGCCCCAAACCCGGCGCTCTCCTGGCCCGCCCCCTCCCGTACCGCAGGCCGCGGCCAGGACATCACCAAGGGTCGGCGGCGGGACCAGGGCGCGGTCAAGATCAGCTGCGCGCGGCAGGACCCCAACGCTCGCAACTGCCACGGCTACCGCAAGTTTGTGAAGAAGAGCCTGCTGGAGGACCCGCAGGTGGGGTGGGTGGGTGG